GTTGTGAGGGGGGCAAGGCCTGAGGCGGCCTGTGGGGAAAGGGCTGCTGGGGCTCGCTGGGGGCCTTGCCTCCCCTGGCTAGACCACAAGGGTGAGCCGGGGTGGGGGAGTGGGTGTTGCTTCTTAGCCTGCAGTTATGGGCCTGGTTACGCCTCCGAGGCAAAAGAGGGTTTCTGTGCGACAGGTCAAGGGCACAGGCATGTCCCACAGTGAGGGTGGCCCCTCGGCTAGCTGCGGCCTGTCAGCCCGTCTCTCGCTGGGGGCCTTGCCTCCCCTGGCTAGACCACAAGGGTGAGCCGGGGTGGGGGAGTGGGTGTTGCTTCTTAGCCTGCAGTTATGGGCCTGGTTACGCCTCCGAGGCAAAAGAGGGTTTCTGTGCGACAGGTCAAGGGCACAGGCATGTCCCACAGTGAGGGTGGCCCCTCGGCTAGCTGCGGCCTGTCAGCCCGTCTCAGGAGTGTGTGGAAGAGGGAATCGCAACAGGGGAATATCCCAGAAGAAAACTTTGAAACCTGATAATGCAAATGGAGTTTGAACAACATCTGCCCTATGAGGAGCTCATTGCCTTACTAATATCTTAATAATGCTATGTATTCTTAAATTTTGTTTACCTGCAGATTTTTCATCTGGTATGACCACTTCTTCCTGCATGCCAGGCATTTTAGTGAGCATGAGTTACTGGCAAAAAAGTTATGTGGTTCCTTTCCCCCATGCTGAAATTAGAATCATAGAATGCTTTGGGATGGAAGAGACCTTTAAAGGCCATCTAGTCCAACCCCCCTGCAATTGGCAGGGACATCTACAACTAGAGCAGGTTGCTCAGAGTCCCATCCAGCCTGGCCTTGAATGTTTTCAGGGTTGGGGCATCTACTACCTCTCTGGGCAACCCATTCCAGTGTTTCACCACCCTCATCGTAAAAAATTTTTTCCTTGCATTCAGTCTAAATCTACCCTCCTTTAGTTTAAAACCGTTACCCCTTGTCGTATCGCTATTGGCCCTACTAAAAGTCTGTCCCCATCTTTCTTGTAGGCCCCCTTTAAGTACTGAAAGGCCGCACTAAGGTCTCCCTGCAGCCTTTCTTCTCCAGGCTGAACAACCCCAGCTCTTTCAGCCTTTCCTCATAGCAGAGGTGTTCCATCCCTCTGACCATTTTTGTGGCCCTAAGGGGCCCTTAGGAGGGTTAATAGTTAAATAAATTGAGTGGATACTGTATTTAACAGCAATGTTCTATAAAAAAAGTTAGCAAATGTTTAATACATTATTCGTATGATGAAACATTATTCCATTTGGGGGTTGTTTGGGTTTTTTTTAATCAATATATCAACGTTTTTGGTGCCTTTTAAAATGAATTAATTAATTGCTGATGACACAATGCTGGGACAAGTGGCTGATACACCAGAAGGTCATGCTGCCATCCAGAGGGACCTCTATAGGCTGGAGAAACGGGCTGACGGGAGCCTCAAGAAGTTCAGCAAGGGGAAGTGCAAGGCCCTGCCCCTGGGGAGGAACAACCCCAGGCACCAGCACAGGCTGGCCAGCTGGAAAGCAGCTTTGCAGAGAAGGACCTGGGGGTCCTGGTGGACACCAAATTGAATGTGATCCAGCCACGTGCCCTTGCTGCAAAGAAAGCAAATGGTATCGTGGGCTGCATTGGAGGGGCATTGCCAGCAGGTGGAGGGAGGTGATCCTGCCCCTCTGCACTGGTGAGGCCACACCTGGAGTGCTCGGCCCAGGTCTGTGCTCTCCAGTACAAGTGAGACATGGACATACTGGGGAGAGTCCAGCAAAGGGCCACTAAGGTGATGAAGGGACTGGAGCATCTCTCCTGTAAGGAAAGGCTGAGAGTGCTGGGTCTGTTCAGCCTGGAGGCTCATGGGGACCTCATCAATGTATATAACTACTGGGTAGGAGGGAATGAAGAAGATGGAGCCAGGCTCTTCTCGGTGGCACCCAGTGACAGGACCAGAGACGATGGGCACCAGTTGAAACACAGGAGGTTCCCTCTGAACATCAGGAAACACTTTTTCCTTGTGAGGGTGATGGAGCACTGGCACAGGCTGCCCAGGGGAGGTTGTGGGGTCTCCATTCTTGGAGATACTCAAAAGCTGCCCGGACACAGTCCTGGGCAGCCGGCTCAAGGGGGCCCTGTCTGAGTGAGTACGTTGGACCAGATGCCCTGCGGAGGTCCCTTCCTGTCTCGCCCATTCTGTGATTCTACCAATTAAGCATATGAAAATTCACTGAAAATAAAACTTCATACGTTATATGCTTGCTGTGTTGGAACATACAAGTGCATCAGCTGGTCAGTGACAAAATATATTGCTTCCAGTGAAACCATGACTTTATTTCTCGTGTAGGAAAAATGACACAAAATGTTGTTACGAGCAAGCATGTCCCACTTCGACCTTTGTTAGAAATGCAGACAAGGTATAAAGAGTCCCATCCTCCCAACCTCAAATTTCCTATATCCTTCTCTCTGAGGATATGGAAGTTCATAAGATGTCCTTATTTCTGTGGTGGAATCCAAACTGAGCATGCCCTGGAGCTGCTTGTTCTGGGAAATGTTTCTGTAAAAAAAGTATGTTAATATTCTGAAAGTTAATTTTGGACTTAGTTTGTTCTCCCTCATGGCTGTAGATTTTGCAGGTGTCTTGGGCTGTCTGTTAGTAATTTGATTTAAAGGCAGAAAAAGCTATGAGAAGTTTCAGAGAGAGTATTTATTCACTAAGATTTGAAGTAGGATTCTCATCTGGTGGCACAGAGTATTAAACAATCATCTGCGTACTCTCCAGGATGGCAGCAATTTGGCTGAGTACAAAAAGTCCTTGTCTTCAAAAAAGCTTTTGGAAATACCTGCGTAAAATCATTGATGGCTATATTTCTTACAGTTCCAGATTGGAACGTTGAACTGAAATTTACTTCTAAAGACATAAAACACCTTAAGAGCCTCCCTTGCATAAGCACTACCATGCATTTTGCATAGAGCTAGTTCCGTGCGTACGGATTCTATACATGGGGTGTGTCATATAATGAATAAGACAAATATCCTTAGAAGATACTCACACTTCTAATTGTAAAGCATTAAATTCAAGCCTAACAATTTCTGACAAACTTTTTCAGGGCCAGGTTTCAAACTTTTTATTCAGTCAGACTTTTTCCTGAGTATGTCTGGCCTTCCTCTTTTGTGGCTAGACAGCTATGTAAAATGGAATCAACACAGTTGGTTCAGTATAGTTGTTTTAATATGTAAAAATATGTCTGAAACAACTTTTTCCACCGAATTTAAATTCGTTTTGGCTTTTATGTTTTCAAAGGTAG